TACTCCTCCAGACTGAAAATCGGGGCAAAAGTCACGTCGTGCATTTCAGGTTTTAGAGGGAAGAATTTTGCTGCCTAGCACCTCTTAAAATGCCATCTAGGTAGGCAGTTCACTAGCAAGTGTGATACCTGATGCAGCAGCTGGCGTAGTCGGTAGAGCTGTGATTCCAGCTGTTTGTTATGGTCCTCCAGTATCTGCATGCGGGCTTCCAGCCGTCCCTTGTGCTGTCGCAGGAGTTTAGCTTCAGCTAACAGGTCTGCTTCCTCAAGGGCCCCGCTAACAGCTGCGGCCCCCGTGCCAGGCTGACCGTGCTGCTGGCGCAACTGTTCATACTCCCTCTGCAGGGTCCTGACCACGGACAGACAGAGAGAATGTTTATATGCCATATATAACACCGGCTTTTGGGCTTTTTGTTTATTGTGAGTTTGAGTTATGATTGGTGGATGCTGCGCCGGTTCTTTTATGTTCTTGCTTTGAAAGGCAATGAAGAAAAGTGAACCTAAAGGGACCTTCAGCCATATTCAGCCTATTATTAGAAAGCTACAGAACAGCCCACTTGCTCATTTGTTTTGCTTAAAACAGTGACTTGTAAAAACCAGAGGATTCGTCAAATGAAGATGTTTTACATGCAAATCCACAGACTTTCCACAAAAATCAATGCAGAAAAATAACTTAAGGTTTAACAGACCATTTGGGTTGATAGTATTAAAGCTAGCATTAAACAGAAGTTGTGATTATCTTTTTCTATTGTGACGTAAATCGGAGTAAAACTTCTTAAATGAGGAAAGAATTTTGGAATTGATTGGATTAGAGGATCACTGTTGTGCTCTAATGCCAGTGACAGGTTGCTGGAAGGATTATTGTGCACAGATAAAATGTTTTTAATAAACACTGCAATATTACATAAAAAAATAAGAATTGTCAGTTTTGATTTCATGGTGTCTTTGACGTGGAGAATCTGTAACCTACCGCTGCTCCTCCTCCAGTCGCGCTATGATTCGCTCCAGCTCTCCTCGCTCCTCCCTCTCCACAGCCTGCAGGATCTGGGTGGGGCTCTGGAGCAGGTAGGAGGGGCTGTGAGTGTCATGGGCGGGGCTCCTGCTGATCTGGGCGGGGCTCTGGAGCAGGTAGGAGGGGCTGTGAGTGTCATGGGCGGGGCTCCTGCTGATGTGGGCGGGGGTTTGGGGCTGGCTGAAGGATGAGCCCTCCCCTCCCAACGTCTGACAGTACTGCAGGATTAAAGCGTGTTCCTCGTCCCTACAGAACAAGAGAGACGTGGAGTTAGAAACATTCGATTTTTACATTTTGCGACATAGTTTGCATAAAACTTGCCACCACGAGTTTCTATGATATTCTGGGGCCGGTTGCATAAACTGCTTAGACTAGTCTTAAAAAGTTAGCCATCTAATTTTTTTTTCTTCAAGACTGGTAATAACTTTTTAAAATCAGTTACAAAAACATAGACTGGTCTAATTTGAATTAAAATGTAAAACTGGTTACCCCTTGATTAACTGCTTGTTGGTCAATCTAGTCTTAACATCATGGCTGTGTTTATGCAACTGGACCACGGTCTCTAGATACATGCTTTTTCCTGCCCGCTTTATCCACCAGGAAAATAACAAAGTTGCATTTGCTTAGAAAGGTAAAAGCTAGGGCTGTCAAGCAATTAACGTCTGTAATCTAATTAATTACATGATGTGCCAATTAATTAATCAAATTAATCACTAATCAATCACACATCAATTTGGCCTGAGAAATGACCCCCCAAAAGATAAAGTCGTTATTTTATAAAATAAGAAAAATACTGAATAGACATTACAAAAAGTAGCCTTAGAAAGAAATATTTTGATTAAAAACTGAATTTATTACACACAAACCTTTAAAGCTACAATGTGGCTATACCATTGTTTGCAGAAGCTGCATCTTAAGTGGCATTTAGGTATATTTACACAGACTCTTCAGAGGTGGCAATGAGATTAATGGGTTTTAAATGTGCATTAATGGCTTTTAAAAGAATTGAATATTGAAATATGAAGCAATTTTGCTTTTCAAAAATGATATGAAACTAAAACCACCAGTAGGTGGCGGCAAGTCACTGTTTTAATGAGTGAATAATTCAGTCATTCATTCAACCGATACATCCAAATGGCTGATCCATTTGGAAATGAAGCAAGTCTTTATGAATGAGTCACTGAATCATTGACTCACTCGATTCTTTAAAAACCAATCAGTAACGAAACGCTTCAGATAAGCGCATTATTTCTGCTACGTGCCTTTATTTGGAACTATTTTCGTTCGCGAAACTGAACAAAGACAATATTGTGTCTGAAACGTTTATTGAACTGTTGTATAAAATCAATATCACATTTGCAATTGTGCAGATATTCGGGGAAAACGGCTCTCTTGCTCGTGTGATATTGGTAAACTATATAAAATGTGACCCTGGAGCACAAAACCAGTCTTAAGTCGCTGGGGTATATTTGTAGCAATAGCCAAAAATACATTGTATGGGTCAAAATTATTGATTTTTATTTTATGCCAAAAAT